TCTTTCGGAGTCAGCAGCAAATGTTCAGCGCATGTCTAGCTTGTGTGTTGTACGGCTCTATCGTATATGTCTAAAAACAGATCTATCAATGTCTAGTGGATATCAAGCTTATGTCCACCAGCAAATTACTAAATCGCACCTGTCTAGGAAGGTGGATACGCATTCAGCATGGACCTAAACAAACAAACTGCCTTTAAGTATTCGCGCAGTGCATTTCCAGCGCAGGCATAGACTTTGCATGTGTTAGTATGTTGATATCATACACCTAAAATGTCTAGCTCTATGTTAACATGCGCAAAGAATAGAGACTACCAAAGAAATTCCTAGTGTGTCCAGCGCCTAGCACATCCAGCACCTGTCGCCAGCACTTGCCTCACATAGGCCCAGCAAATCATAATTCCAGCGCAGACTTTATGCAGCTGCCTACTATGTCTACATAATTTGGCTGCCTGTTTCTAACACACGTCTATCAGGCGCCTGGTATGCCCGTAACAAAGCTTGAATGAGGTATGTCCAACTTACTTTTCAAGCCAACACCAAGCCTAAACCAAGCTTCTTGAGAGAACTGTACGCGATTTTGCAAGACTTAGGGTTTAGTGTGGAGGCCTTTGCACAGCGTTCCCCTTTAAAAGGATCAGTGTGATGCCATGCCTTCTCTCGGCGTGAAGGTGGAAGGTCCTGTGCTGCCTCGCCCTATTTCCCAGATTCTTGTCTCTAGCTGCCTGTAGGCCCCGCCCAGCAAGCCCAGTTTTGGACCAACGCTTTTGTGTTCGGCTTTCCTTTTTTTAATTGTGTTTCTGCTTTTTGTGCGAACAGTATGGGTCAGTGCCAACAATGCTTTTTGATTTGCAACAAAAAAACACGCGGCAGCCAGTACAACCTTGTACCTCTTTTATTTCAACCCCCTGCATATTTCGATGGTGGGGTTGGACCCCCTCATTTGCTTTGCGCCAAGAGGCAGAAAAGGGAGGGGGAGCCGCGCGGAGGGGGGGGGGTTGGGAGGTTCTCGGGTCCCGAGGATGCCAACGCATTCGTTTGTGCACCATGCTCTCAGTGCCGCGAGAAGCAGACTTTAGGCTCCACGTTTGTTGAGCCTTGCCGATTGAACATGAGGCAGGGCCGGGAGTGCCAGTCTAGCAAAAGGTTTGGATGCGTTTTTTGCGGCTGCCACCTGTTTTCTCCCTGTCCATGTTTTTTCCTTTGGTACTGCTCAAATCTGCTTGTGGATGTGCAACAGCCGCATCCAAACTGCTGCCTGCCATGGGGAAGGATCACACCAATTTGTTTCATTGCACGGAGTGACTCTATGGGCAGAGTGCTTGGTTAAACAAACTTTATATGTCATGTCATGCGCTGTGAAAATGGAACATGACGACTCCATGGCGTGGTTTTATTCAGTGGCTATTTTTGTATTTGTCACCAGCTGTTTGAGTCCTGAAAGTCCACAATGGTGCCTGTGGGTCTGTCGAGGCGATAACTCCTCGCCATCGCACGGATCCCAAGCTGCGTTTTCAGCTGCGCAAAGTGAAATGAACAGTACTCCACCAGTGAATGCAAAAAAGACAGCTAGAGCACTAAGATGATCTTTCAAACTGCTAGGACTGTTGCGGGCTGGTCTGAGTGATTCGTGAAACACATGGCCTTTTGAGCAATGCTTCAGATTCGGGCAGTTTCCATTTAGACATGAGGGCAATCATACCAAATTCTGCAGGCTGCAACAATTGCAAGAGTGTGGACAGCTGGTGGATACGTTTTGCAGCGGTTCTTGCCGAGGAAGCGAACCCAATTGTAGTTTTGTGCTGCTGGCATGTTTACCCTGACATCTTGCAGATCTGAGCTCGGTCCAGGCTTGTTGATTTTCTTCTGCTTGCAGTGTGTTCGGGAATCCCCATGTTCATTTCCTCATTCCCTACTTGTCGCAGCAAGTTTTTCGTTATCGGACGTGCCAGGCCATGGATCTCCTGGCCTCCCTAGTCTCCGGCGTCGCAGGCGGGGAAAAGGATGCGTGGGCGAAGACGCCGTGGAGAGATATCTTTCTCGCATTTCGAGTCAGAAACCGTTCTTAGTTTGTGGAAGCTTATCATAATTCCGAGGCAGATTTCGGGATGGAGGTGAGGGGTTCGCACAGCTTCACTCAGACTGTTTTGGTCGAGGGGCCTCGCTGTGAGGCCCACACAGCCTGCAAGAGTTTCTTCACAGATGTTTGTAGGTTCATCCGGTCACTTGCACTCCAACATTTTCTTTTTTCGCGACGGTCAGAGCTGGGACTAATTTGAGGCGCCGCCTATGAGCTCTTCGGCTACAACCGATCGTGGGGTGCCCGAGACTAGCTAAATCTGGGCAGTGTCCGGGTCGTTTGAGCGATTCGCACTTTGCTTAAGTCAGCCACAATTCAACCCGCAGGTGAAGGTTAAGCAGGGGAGAGTCCCAACCAGAGTCGGGCGCTGCCGCCCTTTGGCTCCCATACGGAATTTGTGTCACTGAGGCAAAGGGGGGCAAG